GAGGTTCAATTCCTCATGAGAACTCAGAATTTTTCTTTATCCCATGCTCCTGATAAGACAAAAAAATCTTTCTCTATATGTTTGTTATTGCTCGATTTATTAGAAGTTTTTTACTTTCAAGTATCCATCTTCATGGTCACTATTAATAGGTTCTATTAAAAGAGACTCTCTTTCCAGTGAACTCAAGATCCAAGGATTTGGCCAGCATTGACTTGTGCTACTCATATATCTACATATTAGTGTACAATGGTGTACATTATTAATTAAAAGGACTTGGACATTAGCTACTGCAACTTCACATAATGTCACAGTGCACCTGTAATAACTTAGCTGACAAAATGATTTGAATTTCAAATAATTGGTTTTTGGGTGGTTGTTGAAATAACAACATTGAAACATAATTTTGAAAAACAGTGGCAATGTTTCAAAGGCTATGTCTTATATGTCTCTTAAGTTACTCGGACTGTAAATCTCCTCTTTCCCCCTCCCCATGGGCATGGATGCTAGTCCTTATTGCAAGCCCCACAGGACTGCGACAGTGTGCCAGTACTCATTTATATACCTGAAGGGTAAAACATTGAAGGCATGGTGGAGTTGATTGTGTCTCGGCCAAGAGAAGAAGAAAATCATGAATATAAACTTCTCCAATTGATAAGGAATCCAGCCTACTAACACACTAACCCACCAGTCTCCCACTGATGTAGGCACTAATTGGGAATTGTTTCTAATTCAGAATGAAGAAAGCTGGTATTCCATGTCCATCAGTGGCACTCCTGAAGAAACATATACTAATCATGAGTTTTATTGGCAAGAATCAACAACCTGCACCTAAACTGAAAGATGCTGTTCTGTCTCCACGCCAGTTACAACAGGCTTACCAACAGTGTGTTCAGGTACAGTATGATAGTCATATATTCACAGTTGTTCAGAAACTGCTGCACATGAATTCTTTTCTCAACTCTATAATATTAGATGGAAATAAAAATGAAAGAAAAAATGAGAAAGAAACCCCAGTCATTTTAATGAAATCCCTGGAAAGCCATATTAGTTTTGTACTTGAGTACTCCAAAATTATGTAAAATACAATTTAATTGCTCAAAGACAAAAGTCAGTAGCCTGTGGCAGTTAGGCTCTACTAGAACGAAAACTTGATAAATATATATTTTGATTGAAGAGATAATGTTGTGATATTGCAGATGATGTGTACAATGTACCAGAAATGCAAACTGATTCATGCTGATTTGAGTGAATATAACATGTTGTGGCACGAAGACAAAGTCTGGTTTATTGATGTCAGTCAGTCGGTGGAACCAATGCATCCCCATGCCTTGGAGTTTCTCTATAGAGACTGCACAAATGTTGTTGAGTTCTTCACCAAGTGCCAAGTTCCAGATGTTCTACCAGCTCACGACTTGTTTAATAAGGTCTCACAATTGGACATCACACCCAGCACAGAACAAGGTTTTCTTTCCCAGGTAAAAACTCTCTTTGAGACCTTGACTTTCTCCCTCTGAATCCAAGTTTTCAGTCTTCAGCTGTCAAAGTTCTCTCACAAATGATTTCTTAATTCTCTTTCTAGGTTCAAGCTTATGAGAAACATGAACTTTCCATTGGAGGGAGAAAGAATGAAGAGCCGTATGACTTTGATTACTTCTTTAACAAGACAAGCACTTAGTTGGAATGATTGGTTTTAGAAATTACTCTTAGGGCAGATGTATGCCTCGACTCTTCCATTACAATTGATGAAAATTGCTTCTCAAACATCTCCACTTTGTGGTAGATTAATACACTGTTGTGTAGAGGTGTCTCTCAAACAAAGATATGTACATCTGTACCTGGTAGAACATTAGGCATACCCATCTCTATCTGGGCAAGTATACAGGACATCAAGAACTGTATGTTCTAAAGATATTCTTGAAATAAAATCGTGCTGGGAATTAGTGCTGATAATTTAAAAAATTAGCCTTTTCCTCAAGTTGTGGAATGACATTTTAACAATATTCAGATTCTAACACTCTGCAGACTTTCCATTGCAAAACTTTGACTGCAAGAATTAAAGAATGAGAACTTAACAAAGGAGTTACCCTCTTATATAATCCATAAATACACGTACAGTAGACTGAAATTGAAAACTTTAAAAAGAATATTTTAAAAATTGAAGTATAGTTTTACTTTCTTACTTGTAACTGCGGCACTATGTAAATTGTTTTGCTCCATTTTACGACTGTCAGTACTGTTGTGAATGAATTTTGATTGTGTGTACTACTAAATGTTTGTATTATTTGTTACTAGACATTTAAAAACTGACAGTAAAAAAATGTATACTCTGAACTTGAGCCAAGGAGCCCATCCAGCTGGAGCTTATCCTGGTTTCCATAGCATGAAGGGACAAGGGGTATTACTACTCCCCCCCTGGATGGATGGTCAGTCCATCACAAGGTTCTTCCCACCTTCCCCCCCCCAGCATTTCACCTGGCTTCCCAGACAATTTGCAGGTACTTATCATACTCCTGGGAGGAGAAAGGCTCTGAATGCAAATTTTTTTGCCCAAGAACACATCACAATGAACTGGCCAGGTCTTGAACCCAGATCTCTCAACCTGGAGACTAGTATACCAACATTTACACCATTGTGTCTCCCACTAACATTGATAGGGGCCTTAACCCTATAACCGCTGAGAGTGACTGGCATTTAATTTCTCCCAACAATATTACCCCTAAATTAAACCTGAAGGCCATGAGAATAAAGGAACTGATCACCAACTAAAGAAGCTCTTGATTGTTAGACAAATTCTCCTGGTCAGGACCTTAGAAATGTTTAGGGAACGGTATGCAGAATATGCATACTGGTGTTAGAGTGTAAAAGGTTAAAAATGATGTAATTTGGAGAACTTTTTGAAAACAGACACCTTCCTAATACAAATGCTACACTCTATCCTGTCGGTGTTGGTAGTGCAAAGATTCAGCTGTAGACTGCTTGTCATTCATTTTCCAATTATTTTTATTTTCCATTCTTGACCAAAATTACTTTGATGCAAGGTACAATTGAAATATTTGTTAATTTTTTTTAGTTGTTACAACTCTACTGGTCAACCACCTGAAAGTTTATGCTTGCCTTACCAGCATTATTCTAAATTTATGCAGGATATTTTATTTATCAGTAATGAATTCTCTTGAAAAATGACTGTTATGAAATTATGTTTTAATTCAAGGCATAGCAACTACAAAATCTATTCTTTAATCATCAGGTTATAGGTTGTAGTTTAAAGAAGCACATTCATCGGGGCTTCATCTGCTATTTTTGGCATGCCAGCCACAATACCGGACTCAATACCGCATTCATCTTTGCCTCGCAGAATCTTAAAGTATCCTGTTTGGAGAAATGAAAAATAGAAAAAAGGGCTCATGATCTTTGACTTCTCCTAGATGATAATAATAGCTTAGGCTCTTAGCTGTATGCAGTAAAATATATGGGTTCACCTGTAACTCTTTGATTCCTAAGAGTAACTAGTATCTAATTTCTCCTCACAATATCACCCCTGAATCACACCGTGAGGTCACGAGAACAAAGGGGATGATTCCACCAGAAAGGCTTGACACTCCCAGTTCAAATTCCCC